TACTAATTTGATTGATTTCCATAGGTGTAAAAATTATTGAATTTAATGTAATGAACAAGCGAAACGAAGGACTAGACTAGTCATATATACTTCAATCATAATTTCGAAACTTCTTAAGAGAAATTTCCAGTGATTGCAACACCCGAATTTTTGACCACAAAATGGTCATTTGTATTCATTTGTATTGCAATAACATCTGACTTGTGATACATTGAAGCACATCAGAATGTTCTATTTTTTACTTTATATTTTAGACACTAAAAGCTGTATTAAAATAACGTAAATTACAAAAATACTATGTATAATCTTAAAGTTTAGTAGGATAACAAATAAAATAAAAATAAATATAGATATCTTTTTTAATAAACTGTGATAAAGTTTTACCTTTGTATTTATATTAAGTTAGGGTTAGAAGGTTAACGTTAAGGTGTTAGGAAAAGTTCGAAGTTTCGTTATGTGTGATTAGTTAAATTACTATTATATTTGGGTCATAGACTAGCAAATGCCCTTCTGGGAAATATTACCTTTTTTAAGTTTATTTTTAAAAATTTTATATTTCGTACGACTACTCTATAAAATACCCAGGGTATATATCACTAAACCTGGGAATAATACCCCTGGAGGACTGTGTTTGGTAAAAGGTATTGTAAATGGAGGATATTATGCTAGGGGTATTATACAAGGGGATACAATTTAAATATTTTATACTAGTCTCAGTATATCAAACCCATTTAGATAATTGATTTTTTTATAAAATATCAAAATTTTATATCCACCCTTGTCTTTCTGCTGTGTTCAATGTCATTGCTATCTTGAATTTTATACAGAATGCTGTGTACCTAATAAAGCATCACATTTAGTAAAATGTGAAAATTTTAAGAAAATCTTAGCCAACTATAATCAAAGATAAAATAATATAAAAGTTTTGTTAATTTTTTAATTTTTTGTGATTTTTTTTTTAAAAAAATAATTTCATAATCAAATAGAATAACAAATTTTTTTATAGTTAATTTTTTATGACGGAAAAATTGCTAAAATGATTTCTTATAACTGACCATCTAGATCATTAATTTCTGATCATGTGTTAAACGCAAGGGGTATTGTAATATCATATTAAAAGTAATCGAAATGGACACGTTAAATGAAATCAGGATTTTAATCTTAAACTAAACATGTTAAACGAAACAACCAGTAAAGCAAAGAAATAGTAAAGAAAGTCAGGAGTATTATTTTGTTTTATTAAAATTGCATAGAACATGTCACCATCAAGTGCAATGCCGTCATCAAGTAACTATTACCAAAAGAAATGATGTCGATGGAATGTGAGAGAAAAGTTAGCTGATTTAAGCTTATCTTGAAAATCATTCACAAAAAAATGTTCGTGCAATAGCTGTTATGTTCAATATTGAGCTTGCTCAATTTAGAAAATGGCATAAACTTAAATAACAATTATGGAAGCTTCACCTTATATTCAACGAAATACTAGTTTACATCTAAAATATTCAGAACTTAGTTTTAGACCAGCGGGTTAAGGGATTATGTTAAAATTTAACAGTTGTAACCTCATTAATAAAATAAAGGTCAAAGCTCATACAAACAGAATAATTTTATCCTGATATTAAAGAATGCAAATTTAGAAGCAAATATATTGATAGATTTATGATACAACATAATTTAATCATTGTCGATATATAACTGTAGTATAATGATTACCTTAAGATTTATTAGAAAGCAAAATTAGTTTTAGGATTTGTTCTTTATCAATGAATTCAATACAATTATCCATTTAATCTTATTAATAATATGGATGAAACGCCTGTTTCATTTAATCTTCCTAGTTAAACAAATATAGAGAAAATAGGTGATTATAAAACATGTAATGCTTAACGTTGTATATATTGTATGCTTATGATGCTTATGCATGCTTTAATTGTATTTATACATGTATAGATATTAAAATAAAGTATGCTATGCATACTGGCCTACAATAAATTACTGAATTTTAGTCACATGAATTAGCATATCAGTTTCACAATTGACGTTTTTTCCTCATTGTATGTAAAAAATTTTTTTTCAAAAATAAAATATTTTACTTCTCTTCTAGTATCATAATGTGAGGAAAGGAGCTATCAAGTATGTAGCGTGAAAGAATTATTGATGCATTTCTTAGTGGCATCAAACAAAAAGTCATTTCAGTTCAACTAAATATTCCTTCTAGTATCGTATGCAATACTATTAAAAGATATAAAGAAATGGGTTCTGCAGAATCTGAGAAATATCCTGGATACTTTATATTTTTACTAAATATGATAATCGAGTCTTACAACGCATTATTTATGATAATCAGTTTGCTTCTTTTGGATCAGTTAAATTTTAGGCTTAATACTACTTTGCACTATAATACTATTAGAAAATACCTTTATGATAATAGTTTTGGTAATTATGTTACGTGCAAAAAATCTCTTTTAACTGAAAAATAACAAAAAAATAGATTTAAATAGTATAAGGAAAAATGTTACTAGAATGAAGAATAGAAACAAATCATATGGTCAGATGAGTCTAGATTTGCTCTTTTTGAATCAGATGGTCACATAAGAATTTGGAGATATCTTGAAGAAGCTTATAAAAAGATTGTATTTAACCTACAGTTAAATTTAGTGGAAAATCAGTGATATTTTAAGGTTGTTTTAGTGAGCCTGAAGTTGGACCTTTGGTTATAGTAGAAGGAAATATAAATTCTGATAATTATGTTAATGTTCTTGCTAATTATTTTATACCTTGGGTTAGTAATTATCCTAATTCTGTATTCCAATAAGATGGAGCATCTTGTCATACATCTTCTTATAGTACTTGGTAGATGTCAACTTATAATATTCCAATTTTAGATTAGGTATTGTAGAACTCAAATTTAAATCCAATTGAGAACTTGTAGAACTATTTGGATTATAAAGTTTGAAAAAGAAAGCCTTTACCTAAAACAAAACAATAATTAATAAATGCTATTAAGGAGAAATGGAAAAAAATTAGTTTGAAAATATTACACCGCTTAATTTTGAGCTTACTTAATCATGTTAATGCAATAATTAAAGCTAAGTGTAGGCATAGGATCCCGATCTATAATAATATAACTCACATTTGAGTTTGCATAGAATTTATATGTAAATTTTGCCAAAAGTTGCTTATTTTTACAATTTACTTATCCTACATATCACATTATCTCAATAATCAGTAATTCAATTTTAATAAAATTTATACTGTTGGATTTGTCTAACTGAGAGGAATCTAATAGGAGTAATTTCATCTTTCTAGAATTAATATTGACCGAATTATACTATACAATATAATTTTAATTACGTGTTCGTACTATATTTGTGAGTTCTATTAGTATAGTTTAGGGTCCTGTAAGCATACTAAATATTAATTTGATAATTTTAAAAATTTAAATAATGAATGGTCTAATATAATGCCTTTATATTGGTAAATTTATTTGTCACTTTATTAATAAAGAAATTTTTTTTTATAATCATAAAAAAAATAAATTTTATATAAATTTCTATATATAGTAAAAATCTGGTAATTTATTATAGGCCAGTATATATCATACTTATTTTCTGTCATACATAAAATTTGCAAAAAAAAATTTCTTTTTTATTATAAATAAAAAAATAAATATTTTTTAATGTGAGCCATATACAGATATATGACAATAATTGTAGCAATAACTCAAAGAATTATATAAAGATGTAACAAATTTTTTTAATTATGTATTTATATGCAATACAGTTAATAAATCTATAATATTCAATTATTACATTAGTCAAGATTAAGTAAGCTCTTTGCATAATTTAAAATTTTTCAATTCTAACTTTTCAATCGCTACTTGGGATCTATGATCTGCTGTACTTCTTTCTACCAATTTTATCTTACGTACTTCTATTTCTTTACAACTTTGAAATTTCTTGTTCGCTATCACTTTTATTAATATCAATTTTACTTCTTTTAGTTTTAAGTATTTTCACTTGTATATTTTTTTTTTTCCTTTTTTCTGGTTTTTCTTTATTAGTTATATTCTATAATGATACTTATTTTAATATAATTAAAGATTAATTAATAAATAAACAATAATATTATATTGACATTAATAAATAACTTACTTATTATAATCTACTTTTAGCTTCTTTTATTAATATTTATTAAATTAATGTTAATTTTTAAAATAAATGGTTAAATTATATTTATTATAATTATTTATCTTTTCGTATCATAGTTTTTTCTTTCGTTTAATCTATCTTTTATTCCTACTAGTACATAAAATTCCAATTTATTATTAATTTCAACTGCTTTAAAAAATCTTTCATCAAGATATCTACTTCTAAAAAGATTTTAAAAATTTAAAAATAAATACTAATTAAAATTTATCTTAATAACAATAATTACCATTAACTTCATAATTGCTATATATTAGTCGAACGATGACAAATAGAAGACCAATTGGGTCAAATTTGGGTTGTCAGATTTGACATGAATGATCCCCTATTTTTTTGTTTTTAGAATTAGGTAATCCTGATTGATGACGAATAATAGTGCAGATAGAATACAATAAGATTCCAATCAGAATGTTATATAGATATCAATAGGATTATTCTTATTGATATTAATTTATTAACATCTAATTTTCAATTAGATCATTCCTAAATCATCAATAGGGATATTCCTATTGTTATCTATTATACAAATAACATATTCCGATTGGTAACATTTTATCAAATTTTTATAATACAGGTAATTTTATAATTGTTTATTTTATACAAGTAAGTAATCC